ACAAGAGACAGAAACAAGGGCCAGTGCTCCTCCTGTCAAACAAAACAGCACAAGTTAAAACAGAATACTGAACTCTGTTTCATAACTATTATGAAAATAGATGAGCAATGTAATTGTATGATGTTAAACTGATCATTGATGTTAAGTTCCCTGTTGTACCTTTCCCAAAAGTTCATGCAGGCCCAAGACTTGAGCTGAGAAAACCCCAGCACAAATAAAAATGCTGGGCATGAGCCCCAGGAAGCCTCTCAGGTTTTTAGGAGCAATCTCTCCCAGGTACATGGGCACCACGCTGAGAGAGATACCTGGAAGTTGGAGATGAGGAAAGCATCTCAGAGTCTATTCATGTCAAATCTTACTTTGCTATACCTGCTTATTTTTTAGTTGGGACATACCTGAATGTATTCCTGTTATAAAACGACCAAAGATGACCATTTCGGGTGAGCCGCAGATCCTGCTAAACCCCATGAGAGATCCCGCTAAGAACACCAGTACAGTGGAGTTGACCACTGTACCTTTCCTGCAAAAGCAAACACTGTGAAGTTCTGCACTGGCACTGTTCATTAAGCTAGGACAGTCATGCTCGATAGCCGGTCACCTGGGAGTTTAACTATCAAAACCAGATAACTGATGTTCCATGACAGTGCTGCTGGGTGAAATAGCTGCATTCCTTGATTAGTTCTATCACGTTGTAAACTTTCCTCCTGATTTACAGATGGCTGCACCGTGTTCTGCATTATGATCACCTTACTGCTATAAAACATTTTGCTGGACTGAAATTGATTAGAACAATAAATAGGGTCATGAATCATCGTCTTTCATTTGCATTTAAATGTCTGCAGTCAAATCTTTTGGCGCCACTCGTAGACACTCAGAACAGACTAGACAGGTGTACTTCCAGATTCCATGGAGAGCACAAAATAGAAGTGCAAGCTATGGTTAGGAAGTGCACATAGTTACAAAGTGGTTAATTGAACAGTCTTGTTTCTATACAATAATATGCTACCACTGCTATAAAAAGTATCACTTTGGCCATTTACAGTAATGGTTTTTCTAAAAATTAAAACTCATTATTTACTCATTCTCATGATGTTCCAAACCGGTATGACTTCCCTTGCTATTTTCCAAGCAAGTACAATTAATGCAGATAGATGCTTTCAAGCTTAAAAACACACGCACACACACACACACACACACACACACACACACACACACACAAACACACACACACACAAAACATCATTAAAGTATTATAAAAGTGATCCATATGGTAAAGCTATCCTATGGCTTCAGATGATTTGGATGTAAGGCACACAGACGTTTATGACACTTTCACTGAGCTTTTACCTCGTTTTTGAGGCTTGAAAGCTCTATTCTCTATTCATAGTAATTGCACAGAAAAAAAACGTGATCAGTGCTTTTTTCAAAATGTATTCTTTAGTGTTACATGGAAGAAAGAAATTCATACAGCTTTGGAACCACATGAGGGTAAATAAATTATGGCATTTTTATTTTTGGTTGAACTAATCACCAACAAAGACGATTGGAACTAACTGGACAGAAACAAGGCCATTTACAAGGCAAAGGCAAAGTCGTTCAGTGCGGTCAGAGAGGTCAGGTGAGGTGACAGATGAGGAAGAATCTACCTCAGTGGCCTTGACACTCAAGAGGAATTCCTGGCAGAGTGACCACACCAAGCCAGATGTTATGGGTCTCCTCCTGACTTACCTTCCAAATTTGGTGACCAGAGTGCCCACCATCAAAGAGCCGATCAGGCCTCCAATCGCAAACACAGAAACAGTGAGTGAATACATGAGCGTCAGGGCCTCCTCGTTTAATCCAGTTCCATTGCGACTTACCACTGTACGGTTATAGAAGTCTTTAATGTACTGTGAGTGACAGGGAAACGGAGAGACAGAGAGAAAGAGAGAAATTAAAGTGAATAGTTCACCCAAAAATACTCTCTTGCTGAAAAACCGGACTTCCCTTTTTCGGTCCAATTTTATAGGATATCTTGTGCTATTCCATTTATTGAAAGTAAAAAAAGGAAAAGCTGTAAAGCTACAAAATAATTATAGTATAAAATACAGTATAAAAATTTCATAAAAGTAGTCCATATGACTACTTCTCACATGTCCCAACTTTAACGGTCTACGAATACAATTTTTGGAACGACATAAGGATGATTTTATTTGTGGGTGAACTAAAACATTTTTTTTAAAGGGGTCATATGATGCGATTTCAATTTTTTCAGGCGGGGCATAGAGGAGAAACAATAATGTACAGTATGTGGAAAATAATGTGTTTTTTTAACTTTAAACCGCATAAACACATTTCATTACACCAAATACACAAAATAATGTTCTTTTTAGCAGCATCACATGACCCCTTTAAATATTTAACTTTTTGTTATTTAGTTTAATACACGAACACAAGGTAAGGCATTAATAGCCATTCCCAATTTCAAAAATTTCCTTTTTCTTCAAGCTTGAAGCTTCTATTCAGTGAAACACACCTATCAACATGGACTTACATTCTTCAGTTTTGTGACAAGCTCTTCTTTATCTCTTTCTTTCTATGCAACTCACTCTCTCAATTGCCTGTACTTTAAGATCACAGTCTAATTTAATTTAATTAGCTTATGTACCTTTTCTTTTCTATTCTAAACCTAAGCTGGAGCATTGCAGTATCATTTAACAGACTTGGGAAAACTCTTAATATAGTCTTTCAAGTTACTCAACAATAGATTCAACTGAACTAAAACTGAGTTTACAAAAAAACCTGGATTACTGATAATATTGATTGAGCTTCTGCTTCAAAAAAAAAAGAAGAAAAAAAGCAAGCAACTGTTTCCAGTTGTGATTTTTGGATTTCTATGTTTGAATCCTCTTCCTTAGCACATGATGTTCCAAGAGAAACAGAACAAAACAAAGCCACGGTAGGGTATATAACAGCCAGTCAGGAGACCAGACAGGAGAATTTAAATATTTTCATCATTAACAGGCTAATGGGGCAGGGCAAATAGGTCCCTACTTATATACATGAAGAGCTGCTAGAGGCAACCACTGCAGCACAAAATGCCTGACAAGCCAAGATGAACAAATAACATCTAACTGACTCATCTACAAAAAATGAAAATAAGGCTTCAACACTTTGTTTCTTCAAGTTTCTGGAGAAAGTCTAAAGATAACTTTCTCTTTTTGTCCCATATCATTATGCTGGGCAAACCTCAATGCTCTCTGGTTAAAATTATGATTTATTTATATAAATCTAATGTATAAATAGTAAGTACCATATGATATATAAAAATATAAATTAATGTTAATTCATGTTTAAATTATTACAGAATTCCTTGTAGAAATCACACTTTTACAACAAGAATGTATAGAATGCACAGAATCGTGCAACATTCCCTGAGATCTTGCATCAGGAGAGCCTCTGTTCAGGCCACTTTGTTTATTTCGTCCTCGAGCCTGACATGCATCTCTCTACTGGAAGCCACTTTTAAGAATCAATTTTGATTAAATGAAATACTGTAAACTGGCTATGTTATCTACTGGTTGCTTGTTTTGATGAGCAGTTTTGATCGATCAAGGTACTGAGTGTGTCAATGAGCTCTTACCCCGGCAGGAGAGTTGACCACAGCTAAGTTGTAACCATACAGCATTGAGCTACCAAAGGAGGTAAGGAAAGCCACTGCCAGCAGAGATGAGGTAAGATGCTATAAAAAAAGAAAAAAGAAATTAGAAAATATTTATGGCCTGTAAGCTATAATTTTCCTTACTTTTTTACCCCCTTAAAGCAGCACGCTATCTCTGTTGTTTCTTTTTCTTTCAAATGCTGTGACTGAAACAATGAGCACATGCATGAACCCTGATGTCAAAGAATTACATTTAGAATTAGTCTCAGACATCCTTACAGTGTTTCAAAAGAACAAATTCAGAAATGAAACAAAAACGGACATTTTATCAAATAAATAGTGCTCAGTACATAAATAATGGGTTTGTATTTACATGTCCATTAATGTGTTGAACTAGTACATAATTTAATATGTATGTGGCACACAAAAATATATATTTATAAATAAATGTATTTAGTTTTATAAACAAATATATTTAATCTGTATATTTGTAAACATTCTATTCTATTATATTCTATTCTGTCTATTCTAATGATCTTAAAATGTTGAAGCAACAGTTCAAGTCACAAGAGGAGAGAATAGCTTTCTCATGGTGTGACTTCAGTGGTCGTTACACTTCAGATCATGAGTGGAAAACTTAATTTGTCCCACTAAGTGGTCAGATGCAGTTGCTTATACGTAGTCCTACACGTGAGGGAAGATGCTGAGAAAATGTCTTGTGACATTAACATAATGGATTTTTTTCTACACACCACAAGAAAAATGTGACATTAAATATTGCATTAATATTACTGATAACAATACCTTTTGAAACCTATTATTACAAAACCTTCATCAACCAAACTTCAACAGCCTACTAAAATTAAACTTTAATAAAGTACCATCTGAGACATAATTTTTAAACTAACTAAACTAAAGATCTGTTGATGGCTATCAATAATAGGCTTACGGTTTAAGAGAATGATAAGACAACTAGAACGAAAACAAATAAGTTACAAAACAAACGTATATTTACAACAAAATGGCACATTTAAATAACTGTTAGTGATTAAATAGTCTACTTACCGATGTTATTTTGCCTGGACTAATAATTAACACTTCTTCAGCCATATTAAAGTTATTTATAGGCTACAAGACTTCTTGAGATAAATAATATGAGTTAAGTTTAGTTAGTTAGTTTCTACTGGCCGTCTTTCTGTGCTACAGACTTCATCTTGGACTTGAGGGTGTGGTCATAGCTGACATGAGGGCGTGGTCACACTAGATTGACAGCCAGCACATCGTATGATTGACAGCGAAGCGGCCTCTCATCTCATCAATCCTGTCCTGTGCTCGCGCTTCTCGCACTGGCACTGCACTTCCGACCGAGCGAGGCTCGCGTTTCTTAACAAGACCAAGCTTGTACAATCACATGACAGTCAACAACGTGATTCCTGCTGAAATCAATTAGCTAAGTGAATTTACAAAGTCTGCAGTCACTAGAATGAGGGGACTACGGAGAATCCAATAGTGAGTAATCCAAAAAGACAGCACAGAGAGCAAAAAGGCGATATTCATAAACGGTTTGTGTATCAATCGCGGTAGAGTGAATGGATACATTGAATGCTATTAGGGTCAGTTGAGAGGATCTAGTTAGTATGAAACTTTAAATAACTCCTCTTTCGTTAACTACATGTTCTGTTTGTTATAACTGTAGTAGCCTATCCAGAGGAAGTTCTTATGATGATCTTAGTTGATGATATTAGACGTGGACTAATGTTCTCTAGTATTCTATACTGAGAGACTCCTATGCGCTTAAAGGCAACATGAAATGAGTGTAGAAAACGTCCCCTTCCTGCACTTATTTAGACATTTTAGCCTTGTTTAGGCTATACTGTGTTTGTTCTAGCCAGTAGTAATGCTTTTCCTGATCCACTGAATTTATGCTGACTATTTTTGTCTATCAGGAAATGACAATTCACCCTGTCTGTTTTCTAAATGCATATTATAGGTCAACAGTTCTTTAATGCATACATTTTTTTTTTATTACTTCGTAATGTTTAATCAAAATGTCTCAACTGGATCTTCCAGTGAAAATGACAAACTTGTTTCTGGTAACGTATGCCGGACTTCTCGCCACTGCAAAGTCAAGTTCCATCTTCATCCATTTTTAAATACAACGCACTCACATCTTAAAATCCGGCCATTCAACCAATACATAGAACTAAGTCCCCAACCTACATTTTTGTTTTTTGTAATGCATTATTATTATTATGGGTGTATGACAATTATGGAACAAAAGATCTGTTGCAAAAGATCTCTTCCGCTTCATCACAACTTTTAAGTCCTGTCCTGTATCTTTTCTTGTTAAATATTCAGGTTGACCTTAAAGGGGTCATAGGATGCCCATTTTCCACAAGTTTATATGATTCTTTAGAGTCTTAATGAAAAGTCTGTAACATAGTTTGGTTAAAATTTCTCAATGGTAGTGTAAAAGACACCTTTTTTACCCTGTCAAAAACAGCTCTTTTCAGATCAAGCCATTTTTGTAGCATTTTCCTTTAAATGTTAATGAGCTCTGCTGACCCCGCCCCTCTCTTCCGAGCTGCTCTCAGAAAGACTTTACACACATTTCAGTTCAAACAACTTGTAAAAGTGCATGTAGCATCCTATGACCCCTTTAACGAAAGGTGAAAGAAAGTAGTGGAGACAGAGTAAGATGTAAGATCCTTTTAGAATCATTTTAGAATGTTTTAAGATGGGTTATCTGTGAGGAATCGTTGGTTTTGTTAATTTCTTGCTTTGTATAGCAAAACTACATGTTTATAGCTAATGAGTTTGATTAAAATGGAATGTTACAGTTTGAGTCACAAGTTAGCTGATATAATCATTGTCAGTTGAAGTGTGGTGATGATGATGACACGTTTTGATACATGAATGAACTTCCTCACTGGCCTGTGTCTCCCTCAGGGACTGAAGGATCTGACAAATCTGTCATTAGACTCGTGTCAGCAACCTCAAGCTGCTTTGTGAAAATCATTTGTTTTAAAATAATACTTAACACATAGATACTAAAAGGGGCATGTGTCGTAGGGGCAACCTAAATATGAAGATATGACATTTGGTATGAAATATAAATTCGCCTGTACCTAGTCAATACTTATTAAATCAAATCAAATCAAAAATAAATATTTTGTTCTCTGTTTTCACACTGACTCAAACCTGGTTTTATTTTGGCACTGGTGGAGTCTATTAATGTATAGAAACTTGTTCTTCATATTCTCATCATTCTCTCTCCTTCACTCCTCAATCCTCATGCTAGCACATGTGACCCTGGAGTATAGATTGAGCCGCTCTAGTTGATTGCTTTTGGTGTGTTCTTCTAATGTTGGGCTGGAGAGTGTTGTGTACTTGATCAGGTTAAGAATGACTTGGATTGATGACTGTCCCTGAAACCTAATATCCTTTCCCTCTATGGCTGATTCTCTGATGAATGTAATCAGGGACAGCTACTCACAAGATGACAGCAGGTTAGATTTCTCCAGATCAATGGCGATGTCCTCGGTCTCTTAGAGTCTTTCTTTATAGCTAGTCGCTGTTAAAAATCACACCTCATTCACTCAATTGTATATATTGATTAGGAAATAAGCACTTGGGCTTTATATACAGTGGGTACGGAAAGTATTCAGACCCCCTTCAATTTTTCACTCTTTGTTATATTGCAGCCATTTGCTAAAATCATTTAAGTTAATTTTTTTCCTCATTAATGTACACACAGCACCCCATATTGACAGAAAAACACAGAATCGTTGACATTTTTGCAGATTTATTAAAAAAGAAAAACTGAAATATCAC